AGATTTGTCAATGCATATTTCCGCAAGATTGAAACAGCTGCGTAAATGGAGAAATAAAAAAGAAAAAGAAAAATAGATATTCACTTCTATTTTGAATGAAAAGAGCGATTATTCATTCCTTTTTTCATCTTAATTCATCCCGTGGAGGTGAAGAACAGGATAAAGGTCGTAACAAGCACACAGGCTATTTACCTCCGTTGTTTATGAAAAGGACAGGAAACGGGAAACAGGGGAAAGTCTTTTGATAGGACAGGCTAGGACTCGAGCACCGGTCATGGGCTTCTATGTGACTAATGTCCAGTGGAATAACAAGTCCAGTGGAATAACCCATGTAATATTACCATTGGGTTAGGTCTAGCTTTATTAAATTGAAAGTAAAGTCAACCTGTCCAAACTGATTTCTTTGTTAGTCATTATTGAAGTTACTAATTACTCTTTTTTCTTTCTCTATCCTTTCCTCCCTTCCATCCCCATCCCCCTCTTTGCCTTCCTTTTCCATCCCTATGCCCTCACTCCCTCCTCCTTCCATCCTCATGCCCTCACTCTTCTCCCTCCATATCCATCCCCTTCACCTCCCGTGTCCTCCGTCATACCAGGGGCCGCGGTCGCAGCGCGCGGTTGGGGGGTGGAGAGCTGGGGGGCCCGCGGGGTCACTGCTCCTCCCTTCTCCTCACTTCGCCTTTCCTGCCCGTTTCCATCCCCATCCTTCCCTTCGCTTCTTCGCCATCCCATGTGGGTTTCCTCATCCTTTCGGCTCAGTTCGATCCCCCATCCCTCTCCCCTTCTCCTTCATCGTTGTCGCGCATACCCTCACTCTCCTTCCTCCTTCATCCCCATACGTCCACTTCCCTTCCCTCCGCTTTCCATCCCGATCCCCTCACTGTCGCCCTTCCTGCTTCCATCCCCATCCCCACGCGTACGTCAGCCTTCCTCCCTTCCATCCACCATCACTCCTTCCTTCCTTGCATCGCCCATCGCCATGCACTCCTTCCGTGCCCTTCCATCCCATGCCCTCAACTGACCTTCCTCCCTTCATCCCATCCCGTACTGCCTCGATCCCATCCGCCACTCCCTTCCTCCTTCCATACTCATCCCTCACTTGCCGGCTTCCTGCTCCATAACGCTTCCCTCACTCCCTTCCTCCCTTCCATACATCCCTTGCACTCTTCTCCTTCCATCCCTCACGTGCCCTTCTACTTCATCCCATCCCAATCCCTCCCATCCCATCCCTCATCCCTTCGCTACCCCATGCGCCATGCGCCCCTCATCCTTCTCCTTCCATCCATCCCTCACTCCTTCCTCCTTCATTCCCCATCCCCTTACTCCTCCTCGTTCCATATCCATCCCCTCACTGCCTTGCCTCCTCACATCCATTGCGCCTCACTGCCCTCCCCTTCCATCCCTCACTGGCCCTTCTCCTCAGTCCATCGCCTACTCCCTTCCCCGCTTCATCCCATCGCCCTCACTCCCTTTCCCCCTCATCCCCATCCCCGTCATCCTGTCCTCCTTCCATCCCATCCATCACTCCCTTCCTCTTCCATCCCATCCCGCTTCACTCCCTCCATTCCTCCCCTTCTCCTCCTTTCCCACCCTCACTCCCTTCTCCCTCCATACCCATCCCCTCACTCTCCTTCCTCCCTTCCATCCCCATTCCTCACTCTTCCTACTTCCATCCCCATCCCTCACTCCCTTCCTCCCTTCCATACCCATCCCCTCACTCCCTTCTCCCTTCCATCCCCCCCCTCACTCCCTTCCTCCCTTCCATCCCATCCCCTCACTCCCTTCCTCCCTTCCATCCCCATCCCCTCACTCCCTCTCCTTCCATACCCATCCTCACTCCCTCCCTTCCATCCCCATCCCCATCCTCCCTTCCTCCCTTCCTCCTTTCTCACCATCCTACAGGATCCTGTGCGAGCGGAGTCCTGGACAGAGCCAAGGAAAGGGACAGTGCCTCCGCCAAGGTGTCCACAGGTCAACTTAGAGGCGTTATATGAAGGTCGAACTCAGATTGATGGAGAAGAAGACTGTCTCTATCTCAATGTCTTTACGCCACAGGTTAGACGTGTGTGTGTGTGTGTGTGTGTGTTGTGTTTGTGTTGTGTGTGTGTGTGTGTTTGTGTTTGTGTGTGTGTGTGTGTGTGTGTGTGTGTGTGTGTGTGTGTGTGTGTGTGTGTGTGTGTGTGTGTGTGTGTGTGTGTGTGTGTGTGTGTTGTGTGTGTGTGCGTGCGTGCGTGTGCGTGCGTGCCGTGCGTGTGTGTGTTTGTGTGTCTTAGCGCGTATGTGTGTGTTGTGTGTGTGTGTGTGTGTGTGTGTGTGTGTGTGTGTGTGTGTGTGTGTGTGTGCGTGCGTGCGTGCGTGCGTGCGTGTTGGTGTGTGTGTGTGTGTGTGTGTGTGTGTGTGTGTGTGTGTGTGTGTGTGTGTGTGTGTGTGTGTATTTGCGCGTGCGTGTATGTGCATACAGACAAATGAATCTTTAAAAATGGTATCAAACTTCTGTTTAAGTAAAGGCAATCAATAACCTGCCTAGAACCTTAACTGGAAGGTGCTAATAAACTGAATTTTCGCCTGAAGCTCGACAGTGACGCCCTCCTCCCGGTGATCGTGGCCTTCCACAGCGGCGCCTTCGAACTCGGAGGCACCGACGAGCACCAACCTCTCCCTCTGGTGACCAAGGGCATTGTGTTGGTGAGCGTGGCTTACCGTCTGGACGCTTTGGGTAAGTCTACCCTACGCTCCTTCCATTTTCTTTGATGTCCTTGAACCCCGTAGAATCATAGAAAACGATATATCTCAACCTCGACTTTTAAAACTTCAAACACAATTAGTCACAAATGACTCCCTTAATATCCATCACCTCTTTGCAGGATTCCTCTCCAGTGAAGATGCTGCATTGCCCGGGAACCTAGGATTAAAGGACCAAGTGATGGGACTCCGATGGGTACAGGACAACATCAGGAACCTTGGCGGAGACCCGGACAAGGTCACCATTCTGGGGGTCAGCGCTGGGGCCGCCTCCGTCCACTATCATATGCTTTCGCCCATGTCCTCAGGTGGGCCTGGATAGGCTCCTTAAATCCGTTGACGTTCAGCAGTATTCCCGGTACTTACACACACACACACGCACACACACACACTCATATTCATATTAACCTCAGGCAATACCACACAAGTCATTTATATTTTCAGTTTAGTATTTTATGGTATTCAGATTAGAATTTGACTTCCATGTCGTTTTTTAGATCAGAAGTAACGAATTAGGTAAAAAATAATCGAAAAATTGCCTGGAAAGCTCATTATTGGCTAGTTCCTATTTGATTAATATAAGGGATTTTTTAAAAACTTGTTTAAAACTTTATTTTTCTCATTGACTGCTTTATCTTCAGTATTAATTTTCTTTCAATTATTGCATCTCCCTTATTCTCTGCTCCTTTTCTGAAACGGCCCTTCTTTGTTCTCGTGTTATTATCCCTTCATATTTCTCCTTCCTTCTTTCCATTTTTTTCTTCCTCATTAATTCCACTTTCTGTTCTCCCAATCCACTTCCATCCACCTCAGTCATTCACCTTCCACCTTCCTCTTCCTCCTCCTCAGGTCTGTTCCACCGCGCGGTCCTTCAGAGCGGCTCGTCCTTGTGTCCGTGGGCGTTCAGAGAAGACCACCGCCGCGTCTTTCTCGCCTACGCCCATTCCCTCGGCTGCATCTCGAAGTCGAAGTCAGGGTCTCAGAGCCGCGCGGAGCCTTCGGACACCGAGAGCGAAGCCGTGGTCGAGTGCCTTCGTCAGGTTCCCTTGGATCAGCTGTTGCCTCTGTTGCCGCAGTTCCAGGCGAGTGTTCCGGTCTTCTGAAGTTGGCTTCGGAGCGGTTCGAGTCTGAATTTGATTGTTTTTACTTATTTATTTATTTAATTTTGATTGTGCGTATGTTTGATAGGCATTTACGTAGACAAATAACTCGGGTCGTTCACTTATTGCAAAATATTTTCTGATTCATTCACTGACACTTTCGGTCGTATGCTCGCATTCATTCATTTATTCAAGAGCTCCTTATCTCCAAAATCGTGAAAATCGGCTACTTTTCCTCCCACCCACACACAAAAAAGTAGTTTAAATGCCTCTCCCTCAAAAAGGCGTTAAAAGTCACTATCCCCAAAAGGTCGTTAAAATTCGACATCCGCCCAAAAGTTCAAAATTTTCACCTCCAAAAAGTCGTTAAAATTCGACATTCCCCTAAAAGTTCGTATTCCTTGCCCTCAAAAAGTCGTTAAAATTCGACATCCGCCTAAAAGTTCAAATTTTCACCTCCAAAAGTCATTAAATTCAATATCCCCCAAAAGTTCGAATTCCTCACCCCTAAAAAGTCGTTAAAATTTGATATCCCCTCAGAAGTTCAAATTCCTCACCTCCAAAAAAGTAATTAAAAATTATACCCCCCCCTACCCTGTGGGCCATAAAATCGTAAAACATCCTCAACCCCCCCCCCCAAATAAAAGAAATAAAATAATAATAATTAAAATTCCCCAGCCCCTAAATAGCCCCTCTCTCCCCAAAGAATAATTCAAACTCTCCCATCCAAACAAAAAAGTAATTAAAAACAGGCTCTCTCTCCCCTCCCCCAGGTGTGGCATGGAGGACCTCGCCTCATGACCCCACGTGTCGACGGCGAGTTCCTGCAGGACCACCCCGCCACACTCCTCAGGGAAGGTCGTTTTAACAAGGTCAGCCTCATCTCCGGCGTGACCACAGGCGAGGCCGGGCTGTACACTAAAGGTAGGTCGAATTCTCATAGGGATTTTTTTTTTTTTTTTTTTTTTTTTTTTTTTTTTGCGTTGGTTAGTTTGTCTGTTCGTTGGTTACTTGGGTAGTAAGATAACTCATTTTTTTTATGTTGGTTTGTTGTTCGTTGGTTACTTGGGTAGTAAGATAACTCTAAAAGTTATTAACAGATTTTTTGAATTTTTAACCAGAAGTGTCTCAGCCCAACTTAGATTAAATTTTGGTAGT